TAATGTGTAATGGTCTGGCCGGTAGACAGATCCCGTGATCTCACGCAATCATGTTGGTATTGATATCGGGTAGCTACATTCTCCAGACAACCTCCTCTTTCGTCTCGTTTTCATCTCCTTACAGGATTAGCGCATTAAGGATTATCGTGATAAGCGACGCAACAGCATTTCTGTCGCTTCTTCTCCCGCTTCTTCTCGCCGCGTGGCGTCGCGTTTTTGTTTTCGCCAGAAATGTTAGCCCAACAACACGTCGTCTAAAAAAAAACGCACATCTCAAAGACGTCTTGTTTAAGACGCCTTTTACCCCCCGAAAGGCGTCTTACAATCATCTTCGACACTTTCTGAAAGGATATGTCTGAATATTACTTCGCATAACTTTCTATTACTTCGCATAATCCCAGACCGCACACGCGTTTCAAAGACGTCGGAAAGATGTTTTCAAAAAATACGAAAACGATCTTACGATATATTTTTTGGAGCGAACTATTTACATTATCGAATGTAATGTTGTTATTTTTATTGGAATACGTGACATGGCCAATCTGCTTGTGAGTCTGTAAAAATGTTTGCTATAAATTAGATGTTGAAATATTAAAAAATATCACATACACTGGTGATACATGACGGATGTATTGCCCGTTAACGACAATTATATAAACTTTAATTATTCGATAACAATTCGTATGCTCGTGTCTTAACGATGAGAAATCTCGGAACCTAAAGTCACCGAACGTGTGACTGAGCTTGGCCGTCGAATTGGCCGTCGGACCGAACGTCGAAGCTGATAATCCAGTTTTCAATTTCGAGAATGCGTTCCTTCGAGTCTTGCTCATTCGCTCGCTCGAAGAAGGCACGAAGAGCGAGGGCAAATAAAAGTACGATTCGCCGAGAGACAGAGAAAGCGAAAGATCCCTTTCTCCCTTCTTCATCCTCTCCTCCTCCTCCTCCTCCTCCTCCTCCTTCCCGTCGGGACGTCGAGACGAGTCGATGTACGCCGTTGGGGTGGCAACGAGGGGGTGAAACAAAACGAATGAGGGAAACGTGAGGTCGAGAGGAGGAAGAAGAGTAGAAAAAAAAATGGAAGAGGAGCGAGGAAGAGAAGGACTGACGACTGTGGATCCGAGGCTGGTGGGAAGGGCGGGGAGGGGGGAGCGGAGTGCAAGGGTAGCGGCCATGGGAAAAAGAAAGCAAGAAGAGGGAGATAAAATAGGAATAAAGGGACGGGAGAAACGTAGATCGCCGCGAACTTCAGAAATGTCATATCCGTCAGTGTCCGGAGCTCTGCCTTCTGGAGGCAACCGGTTCCAAACGCACCCGGCAGCGGATGATAAAGTATTGTCCGAGCTCGCGCGAGTCCCCCGATACGCGCGATGCGGGGGCAATTACCGGGAGCCCGTCCTTCGCCGGATATACGCGCGCGAGTTAAATAAATTCGCCGTGGACATAGGCGCAACTCGCTTGCGAGCACCGACTCGAGATCGACGTCGGCCGCCGTTACCGCCGGGCGAGGATCGTGCGCGCGCGCGCGCGCGTGAGGCTCTTGTCCCGCGAATGGCAGGGACAGGACTTGCCGTGGAGAACGAATACTTTCAGGGATCTAATCGCCCAGCAATGCGTACACGACCGTGCCGCCTGACCAGTCAGTCGCTCTCTTGCACGAAGGAACTTTCGGATGCTCGTCGGCATCGAGCGGCCGTGTCGAGCGATATTTCGAGATCGTGTACCAGCGGGAACAACACCGTGTCGTAACGAGCGACGGACTTCCAACGCTTGGAAATGTCTTGACTCAAGCTCCGTAATGCTATTTAGAAACAGACTAAATACCGTAACGGTTGTATTCCGAATAAATACGATATCGCTTCTGATGATTTCACTCGAGAGAGAAAGGGAGAGTTTGCGAAGGCCGGTGTTGCACGCCATCGTATTCTGCGTTGCCACCGTTGGTCGAATTATTCTCCATTTGCTAATGATCCCCCGGACAGTCGGAACCCGCTCGTCTGGAAACTCGTCCCGCGTTCTCGTTTAATAACCATTAGCCGCGCGACGTGATGGCCGGTAGGTGCCGGTCGGCGATTTTCGGATTGTCCCAACCCCCCCGGTCGAAGGGGCGAGCGAGGGTGTCAAAGATCTAGAGCAGATAGCGGCGCGGCTATATTGATGAGGTGGCTCTCCGCGTATTGATTCCAGGGCGGAAGGTTTTCCCCGCAGCACGAGCGCACCCCGCGGGCCCCCTTTGCTACGCGCGCAAGGGTTGATAAGATCCGCCAGATAAGGCATGATTACACACCGCACCGTACCTACCTTCTCACTCGTCGTCCCTCCCCGAGCCTCCTTCCCCTGTGCCTTCCGACCCCTGCGCTTCATTCTCGAGGTAAACAAGGGTCCTTTCTCGCGATGGACGTCGGGACAAAAATGAATCGAAGAACGATAGATTTCACCGAGGCGGCGCAAATTTATCGAACGACTTCAAGTAAAACGTACGTTAAACGCATATTAATATAACAATCTTGGCGCAAAATGAGAAAGCTGTTTCACGTTCTAATTGCGTTTGGCAGTTGCCGCTTATCTCTGAATCTTGAAAATTCTCTTTTTTTTTTACGTCATTCGCTACAATAACTAGGCACGCATCGACCACCCCGGAAACTGCGAGTCCTCGATCACGCACTGATCCGCGAATCTGTCCCCGAGAATCGACAGAGCGCCCGATAAAAAGGGGGCCTGAAAAGCGTTGCGAGGAAAAAAAATCGGAGACACTCGTTTGGGTACTGTCTCAGAGTTCATTGTGTGTGACGCAAGGGAGGGCGGGTCACACGAGGGCAGTTTTATGCTCCGCACAGGGGACACACGCGTGCTATCCCTCTCGCTCAAAGAAATTTCAATAAGCTCGCTATTATGCGAGTCGGCGGGCGGGAGGTTCCCTTGTATTTTGTGCTTTCGCCGACAATGACGCAGGTATAGTTTCGCTCGACGGTGCCCTGCCTTTCCGAGTGCCAGGGTGCAGTGTCATCTCGGGGGGGGTTAAGTGGTTTGTGAGTAGGGGTGAACAAGGGGCGAAAGTGGAGGGTCAAAGGTGGGCGCCTTTCGTAAAAGAAACATCTTATGCGCGCCGTCGCCGCCACTATCTTGGCATAGTGATCGATTTTGTTAAGTATTCGTCTTATCAGTTGTACACGCGAGTTTCAAACAGTATGACATTTAAATGAAGTACATCGCCAGGTATTGCATCACATTTGCGACTGCGAAACACAAATCCATTATTAAAGGTAAATGAGCTCCAACGCGCGACAAGTCTTCAATAATTGTTATACAATATTTAATTAATGATTTCAAATAATTGCGACGGATTCGAAAGACATTTTGTCACATTGAACGGCAATGATAATTCAAGGTCCGTAATTTTGAAAGGGCCGGATGATATCGTCTGTTCATTTGTCCCGGCCAACGTCCATTGCGCCTAAAATTTACCTGCGGCGCACAGTTTTCGGTAACAGTATCATCCATTAACGGTAAGTGGTTCAACAGGAAGAGCCAGAGAGAGAGACGGGGATAGAAGGGAAAGGTGGATAGGCGCACCGGGGAAGGATCGGGGGGGGAAGAGAGCATTTTATAATACGGATCCGACGGCGGGATACCTGCTCCCGTTCCCTCTCACCCGCGTTCGGGAGTGCATTCGCGCGCCGCGCCGTGATGCGGGGAAATAAGCCGCGGTTAGTCCCCGAGGGATAAAACGGATCCCGCTCCTTTTCGTTAAGTGTTTGCCACTCGCATGCCGTCGACGAGGGTACACAGGTGTACGCGGGGTCGGAGTTTTCGAGTTTCCCATTCTCCGAGGACGAGAGACGCCTCCCTGAGATAAGCCTCTCGCTATCGGCTCTCCTCTCTTTCTTTCGGGACATGTCGATCAGACCGGCAGGCAGGCAGCCAGCCAGCCAGCCAGCCAGGAGGGATTTTGAGGGGTTGATGTGTCACGCTAACCCGCGTCAAGCTTGTGGCTTTTTGATTCCGCGCATAAGCCGACGGATCAAATGCGCTTCTGGCGTGGGAGTGAACGGACTCGAACGTACTAAAAGAGTGCTTCGTTCCGTCGCGCGTCTTATAATCCTCTCTCGTACGGTGCGAGTCTGATCGCGATTTCCATGCACCGTGTGTCTCTTGCTCGCAATTTGTCCGAGGGGCAGTTTAAAAGAATGATCTTCGCGTTTATGCACGCGCAGTGTCGGATAAGAAAATCTTTTATGATTATAGGTGGAAACGTTTGTATTATTCTTGAATAGAAATATTATTAACACGTACACCAGTGTCTGGTTCATTAGGTCCTTTAAACGTTATTTTATGACATATCTAATGTTATTTCGTCCTTTTTGACGATTACTAAGATGAAAATTAATTCATGATCTGCTGTTCTAAGTACACAGAATCAATATAATTATAGTAATGTTTCTTCGCCATTTTTCTAACAGTGTCCTATACAATATTTGCATACGCTAACATGCGAAAATTAAACTAAACACTCTTGCTCATCAATTGTACATGACAGATCTCACCCTGGCAAAAAATAGATCTTTATACGCTCTGCTGCTAACATTTTAGTATTCGTATGTGCGCAGTTGAAAAAAAATTAACGCTAATGCGCGTAATTGTACATAATAGACAGTGCGTTGCGATCGAAGCAGTAGAAAAGCATCTTGAGGGGTCATTCCACTTTAACGGCCCAAAAACTACGCTTATCTTTAACAATTTTTTTCACAGTAATCGTTTACATTATGACAAAAATTTTTTGATGTTATTTAAGAGCGCCCTGATAAATCCCAAAAAGATTAATTTCATTACTTACTGTGAACAAAATTGTTAAAGATAAGCGTGGTTTTTGGGCCGTTAAAGTGGCACTGACCCCTTAATAATTTTGCTCGGGTAAAATCTAGCCGAGATGATCGCGCGACGATCGTCCGAAACGCCAACGTGACGGGTGTGATATCTGTGGCTTCTCTTTTCCAAAACTGTCGCTGCAGAGTGCGGCGAGACGGGCGGGCACCAGCTGCGCCAACTGCAAGACGGCGACCACGACCCTCTGGCGGAGGAACCAGGCCGGCGAGCCGGTCTGCAACGCTTGCGGGCTCTACTACAAGTTGCACAACGTGAGTAACACTCATTAATTTATTACACCTCGCCCGCGCCGCACGGCTCCGCGAAATCGGCATGAGCTCCATAAATGCGACTACCTTTTCACTTATAGAGGTAGAAGCACGTTCGCGGCACGTCGCTACGTTGCCGAATGAAACCTACCGTCGGCCGATCTCGCCCCGACTCTGCGGCTCGCTCCGTGTGTGAACCACACATTAATTAGTCGCTTAATCGAGACGGAGAAAGTTGCTCTTTAGCACGCCGCTTTGGGTCTTCAATTAATCTCCAATACCTTATGCGAGCGCCGTAAACAAACGCTTGTTAAACGATTCAACGTTTTACGTAATCGGATAGACGACTTGAAATGGTTTTGCATTCAATGTGCTTTATCAACGGGCTCGAGATCGAAGCATCTTATTCGGTTTATCAGCGATCGTGGGGATCTAAGCGATCGTATAAGACACTCATTTATTAAACTAACGTAGAAGAAGAAATCTTTGTACTACCTTCGCTGCAATGCTATTCCCATCGGAAGCGACCGCGCGGGTGGCCGTTTGCAAACACACAAACCCACGCACACGAGTATTTCCCTCGAGACAATGAAAGCACCGCCGCGGAGGGAGGCCGGCGGTGTTGTACCAACAATTAGGATGCTTTCTGGTTTGCCGGACGTGGTCCTTACACACGTACATAGGCCGCCTGGAAGGGGTGGAGCGTGCTCAACGGCGTGTGACACCGGAAGCGCCGGAAGCGAGCGCCGCGGCACGAGAGGGGGACGCGATAAACGTGATCGAGACGGAAGGGGGAGAGCCAGAGCAGAGCGGAGAGGAGAGAGTGTCGCCGTTTTTCTTCTTTTTTTTCTTCCTCTTTTATCTTCTCGACGAAGACGATATTTCACCCCGCGACGCACGACGCGCCGACCGGACCGTCGCCTCGCTGTTGTTGCCGGTGGACTTCCGCGAGACGGAAATCTCGAAGATGACCGAGAGCGTGTGGGCGACGGCCTTAATAAGCGAGACACGCGTCGCGACAATTTCTAGCCGAGGAATTTCGCGAAGTTAACGAGTTCACGAGATAAAACGCACGCGCGCGCGCGCGCCATTCCTCGCGTGCCCGTTGTTTTTCGGATAAATGGACTATCTGATTTTTAAAGCTGTCGAGTATTTACGAAGAAACGGCACGTGCCATTTCCACGCTCCTCGATTTATCCGAAACAGTTCGCGACAGTGAAAAATTGTGTTTTCAACTTCACTTCCGCACCTCCGTTTACGCGCTTCGATATTTTACCTTTACGCAATTAGAAATCCTTCAAGTAGTTACAAAGTAGGTATTGCTTTTTCTAAAAGCCTGCGTCCACGATGCTAGAACTTGGTCCAAGTTCTAGTCCCGAGAAACGTGTAGCCGATCAACTTGCAGCTTTTATGGCTACACATTTCTCGAAACTAGAACTGGACCAAGTTCTAGCAACGTGGACGCAGGCCTTAAGGATCTCGTCTATTACAAGAAATTATCTTTCTCTCTCTCTCTCTCTCTGTAAATCAATTGACAGAGAAACAGAGATATGTAATTATTAATGTAATAATTCATGGTCGTCTTCCGATCTCCCAAGAAGTTCTCGGCAGCAGCGCCGGCATTATCGCGACGAGATTAAGCGCGCGATAACGGGTGGACGGGAGTGGATGGAGAGAGAAAAAGCTGCGTAAATTCGGACGGGCGATTTGCTCGGCGATGGACCCGCACAGTGCGTCGCCTTGTTTCCGCGCCACGGCGGCGGGGACTGGTAAGACAGAAAGCCCCACTGTGACGGGGGCAAACGTGACGAATGCCCGTGGCGGTGAGGCCCGCGCTCGCGCAGAGAAATCGCGAGCCAATTAGCGCGCGCTGCAAATGAATCCTCTTTCACCCGGGTCCCCCTCCCCCCCCCCGACTGCGCGGCGCGCGTTCTCCGGGGCCCTCTTTCCCTCGGCCTTATCGCGATTAGCTTAGGAAGAGATTGCGCCGACTGAAAATCAAGATACGCACAGCAGCCAGACACTCCGCGGCGGATCCTCCGCCCCTGACGCGCGGGAGGAGGACAGGGGGGTAGGACGGGAGGGTCGTGAGCCGTTTCTTGCGCCTCCACGAGGACGGCCGTGGATTTCTATACTTGTCCCAACATCCGTTGCCCGATACGCGAGAAAGTGGAAACCAGTGGAGCCGCCGAATTTCAGAAACACACACACACACATTCGTGCGGCCATTGGCGAATCGCGGCCTGTCATCGCATGCGCGCGTACTATATTTCGTGTTTAACACGCGGATACGCCTTGAAAATTAAAAATCTTAAACGGAAATGCCAAATGAGGTAAGCGTGAAAGCGCGAAGAATTAGTTACAATGTAATAAATTTTTTACTCGCATACACGCAAGGAGAATATGCTGCCACTTGCGTACACGAGCACATCCATTATTCGCGTTGCAGGTTTCCACCTTTCGTTTTCGTTCGGGCTGCCAATGATACATAAATATACAGGTTTTTGTACAGCATCCGCGCTCGCGTGATATTTTCGCGAACGCGAACGCCTGTGAAGAACAACTCTTACCGGTCCAATAACAAAATCTCCAGGTTTTACATTTCGCATCACAACTTTTTTACACTGCCGCACGCGTGTATTTTGTATATAATGCTCGTTACTTTGAAACCGTATTAATGCATGGGGGATTTAATGGTGAACTTCCGGCATCCCGAACGCATGCCTGCGGCAAAGGGAGCGGATCGCAAAGGCGAACGCAACGCCGTTTGCTTTGCGGAAATGAGAAGTCTCTTTGCTGAGCAGCGACCGATTTCAATCGGGTCCCTTCCCACGACCAACACTCTGATTGTTCCGCACTTCGGAAGAAACATTTGCCGTTTCCCGAATACGCCCGCTTCCGCTTTCTCCACGACGATGTCTTCGGAGCTCCTTCGGGAGGAAAAGAGAGAGATATTTTCTACCTTCTAGGAAACCAAATGACAAGGGTGAAAGGGGGGGGGAGAGATTGCATAAGGAGAAACGTGAAGCCGTAATGGATACTTAATACCCCGAGAATTTTCCTCGTAGCGGATAGGACCGCGACACGAGGTTTTTCAAAAGCGAGTGGGCCGACAAAAGGGCCCGCCGTTACGCGGCGAATCGAGCCGATGCGCGCAGGGCGCAATGAAACGTTTTCTTTCGATGAGGAGCGGTGGCAAAAGGTCGTCCCCCGGCCACCGTCGAAGCCAACCGGCGACGCTTGTCGCCGTGGCCGTCGGTCGCCTCGTCCCCGGGAATGAAAAGCCGGTCCGCGGTAAACGAAGTATCGAGTTGCCATTGTCATCGAGCCTCTCGATACCCATAGCCGATTTCTCTACCGTGGAATCAATTCCCCATCTCCTCTTCTGCTCCCTCCTTCTGTTTTATGGTACGCGAAGCGACCATGTCGTGCTTCTTCCACCCGCGGAAATCTCAGCCTATTCGTATTTCTTGCCAGTCGGAAAGATCATGGAGAATAAATTTAGCTGATATTGACTTATTGTGATAGAGAATATTTTTTTATATCGATATCGTTCCAGTGGTTCGAACGATAGCAGCCCAAATTCGAGGGGTAAGCCGCGGAGGGCATTGTGGTGTACAGATTTGCGGCATTACTAGGCATTTTTGGGCATTATAAAGATAAAAATAAGATAAAACAAAATAGATAAGATAATAAGGCAAAGTAATGCCCGCCGGGCATTGGTGTTCATGATTTTGGTCAGCGGTTTACCCCTCGCCCAAATTAATATTACTTATCCCGAGTCGAAATTTTGGTACTATTTTGACTCTTTTAAGGATAATTTACACCGATGGGGGAAACCGCTGACCAAAATCTTGTACACCAATGCCCACTAATGTTCAGTGGGCATTACTTTATCTTATTATCTTATTGTATTTTATCTTTATAATGCCCCAGCAAGGTCTAATGCCCAAATTAATGCCCAAAAAATGCCTAGTAACGCCTAGTAATGCTCGGTAATGCCGCAAATCTGTACGCTACAATGCCCTCAGCGGTTTCCCCCTCGATTTACACCTACTTAGCTGATCTAAACACCTACATAGACCAGTAATAATCTACTTTGATAACATTATATTTTTTTACTCCTCCCTTGAATCTGTAATTCTAAAACTTTAGCTCCTACTTAAAAGGACCTACTTTAATGCTAAATTGGCGAAAGTAGACATTTTCGACACTAGGGCCAAAATTTCGACTCGGGATGCGAAACAGTATATCGACGAGAGAAACGAAAACCGTGAAAATGATCACACCTACGTGTTGTAGCACTTTTCGGAATGGGTTTCCGATCAGAATTATTCCGTTTTCCCTAGAAAACACAATAGAAATCTGGGAAACAGCTGAACAATTCCGATTAGAATCCATTCCGAAAAGTTCCGTGATACGTGCCCGGAATTCTACAAGTTTCTGACTTTTTCATTCCCCGTGGCGTTCGTACAACACTCGCGCGGATTCCTCGCGCGTCAGCCGAGCGTACACCCGTACTCGCGTGTGACTCGTGACACGTGCACACACGCACGCAGATAGCCGCGACCGTGGCCCGACTGGTTGGAATAGGTGACTGTCTCCGTTGACGTTAAGCCGACACATTACAGTCTTAGCGCCGGGGCCCCGTGTCCGAATCTTTTCTTCTTCCACGGCTCGAAGATGCGAGGGAAGAAATGGACGGCCCGAGCGAAGAGACGGTTCTCGAAATAGTCGATGCCGACGCACTTTCGACAATCGGGACGCGTATACGCGGCGATTCAATGGTCTCTCAAGATAAGCCCGAGGACCTCTCGTGCTAATCGACTGTCGAGGGTCGAGAGAAGAGTCTTGTGTACAATTAAAAATAGACACGCGTGCAAATCTTATATTATCTGAATGCACGTAAGAACTCACGTAAGAGCTCTGCGTTTTTGTTGCGTGCGTGTTTTTGCGGTAATCTTCTTCAGTAGAAGTGCATTGCTAACATTAAGATGCATTAA